AACCCTGAGCAGTTTCCTCACAATAAAATTACAAGACAATTCACCTCACAACTCTCTTCACCTTCCCATTTGAAGTCCATCTGTTTCCCGCTTCAAATATGACAGGAACCATCTGTGCGCTGTTTCAAACGCATTCCCGGCGGATCTTTTTTGCTTTATTCTTATTTGGCTGCTAGTTTCGCGCTTCAACTATGCCGGGAACCATCTGGGGGCTGTTTCGAGTACTATCTCGCAGAGGAAGGAGTGAATTAGCGAATGAGTCATCGCCCGCCGCGTGGTCCCCCTCCCCCCCCCCCCCCAGATACGTTAGCACCGTAATAAATTATAAAGCATTTATTGAGCATTTAGAGGGACAGGGAAAGAAAAAGAATGTGGGGAAAATGCTTGTGACAGCACTTGAATATTATTGTTCGCTCTCATTCGAAAGGTGAGCGCGCTTCACGCAGTGGTACTGGAGCGAGCTATTTCACGACCCGAACCCAGTTTCAGCTAAACACACAAGTAACCCTCAATTGAACACCCATAACTTCTTTGAGAGTAGAGCTTTTGCAGAGGGGAAAGCGTGGTTGTGAGCACTAGGTTGGCACTTGTTACCTTAGTTTGAGCAATTTTGAAAAAATCCTTTTCAAGAAATTTTCTCCGTTGTGATCCGGTCGTGATCATCGGGATTCATTTACAAGTCCTTACGCTTTGAACAGCCATAATAAGCTTCATACAGGGCCATTCCAAAAAGGAAAACAGCGCCGGGATCTCGAAGTCTTCCACTCCACAGCGGGACTGTCATTTTATCCCTAGCCCCGCTATTCGGAAAAATTGTGATCACTGCGCAACCCCAAGTTGTTGCCGTCATGTTCCTCAGATTTATGCCTGCCAAGCGCTGTCGTGAGCCTATCACGTCTCATACCAGCTAGGTGCTCGTTTATTCTGTATTGTGATTATTGATTATTTCTTTGTGAGCAGCGCTGATCGCATCACTTACAAAAGGTAGGCAAAATGGTACCTTCTCCCAACCCTCGGTCACAGAACTTTGTTAGGCTCTTAGTGGGTGGTCCAGGGGGCATTCGCTTTTCGCGGGATAGCAAAGTGCTACCTTCCGAGCTAACTACAGGAACTCTTCTCTTGCCTTTCACCTGATGAGACCATTTCAGAAGCCCTGTACATGTTCCGGAAATGAACTGAGATGCTCTTACTGGTGGGTTTTCGGTGCCAGTTGGTCCGATAAAACCAGCGCTCAAGCTGGATTTGCATGTTGAGGAATGAGAGCCAACTGTTAGAAGGCTTGTGAACCAGATATTCT